TCGATGGTTGCATCCCTGCCTGTGAAGGGGGAAGGTGTATCATGTTGAGAAGCCAGTATTACAGGCTTCGGGCGAACAACGGGCTGTTGGTTGGGGGATGCCGTCATACCAAGATGAGCGTGCACATGAGCCTATAGTCGTGTGGGTGGTTGCGGGGAGAAAAATCCGACCTCTCCGTAGCCACTGTTCTCCTGACTCAAGGAGGCGTATGTGTTATAAACATTCTTACTCATGTGCTCTCTTTTCCTACTAGTATGATTTATGAACCCCACTTTTCCTTCGGTGAATGAAGGTGCAGTAGTGTCTGACGTCTTACCGATGAACCCCGTGAATGCCTCTGTGCGGGGAACAGGATTACTCTTCAAATAATATTACCACTGCTGGGTTCAGCAAGCTGAAAGTAACTATTTTGAGGATGACTAATTCGTTTCTCTGCCACGAACTTCGACGGTAAATCTAAACTAGGAGTTTTAGGTTTGCGTCTCCAAAACAAGGCACTTCCTGACTGTACGTTGCCAATACATCCGAAGGCAATCATCGTAGGTGAGAGTTTTAGGAGGGGGAAAGGCTCATCAACGTCGCTGTATCCACGAGATGCAGGTTTCATGGGCATATCCAACGTGATCAAATGCAAATCTGGCGTATCCTCACCACTGTCGTCTGAAGCAACAGAATCTGTGGACAAATCTGCATGACCGCTAGAGGTTTCATCTTCACTCTCAGTGCGTACTGTGTTGTTGGTATGTGTAACGGTACCAATTGATGCGCACTCTTTCAGCCTTGGTTTATCTATACTTGCAATTTTATCTGGTAGGATGAACGGGCTCTCAGGTATCAGTCTGCTTCAAGTGGTCGTTGTTTCTGTCGAAGCCTGATGTGGGACTTCATGGGATTTAGACCCATGTATGCGTCGTCGACGGAGAGTAAGATCTGGTTGTGCCTTCACCTCTTCACAGGATTTTACCTGTCTGAGAGTTCTCTGTGAACCACAGAGGTGTCTCGTGTTACTGAGTGGGTCTACCTAGGATAATATTTGTCAGTAGTATTTATGAACCCTCTTTCTAGGACCCTGGGCTGTGCACACTGACTCATGCAGACTGCAGACTTTGAGGGAATCATCTTTCGCACAATATAATGCAAATTGAAGTTGATTAATATTTCACACTTGAACAGACTTCACTGATAAATTTGTTTAAGCACTCAATTAGTAAATCAGGGGTGTAAGATAACCTGATTCATCGTGCAGACCGGTAAATGCCCTAGTTTTGCCAAAATACTGCCCTTGTTTGAAGCAGTATCATTATATACACTGACCATGAGTTCTGATGGATCGACGGAAGTTATTGCCTGTAAAAATGGCAAGCACTTATATAAATTATTATTCGAAGTATATCATCATTATTATTAGCTGTAAGTAAACAGAGTGTTTTCGGACCTTGGTGACAAGCTGGAAAACTTTGGTCTCTTAGCTTTTACGGATCGGTTTATTTCCCAGCAACTTAAACGTTATTCATGTTGCGGTTACAAGCGACAGTCATCAAATAACAAAAGAAATGTGTTATCTGGCAACAAAAGTGGCAAGAACACAAACTTAGCTGCAGCACGGACTAAAATTGGCGGTTTTCCTCCAGACTCAACTTCGGTAGTAAAAAAAATCATATGAAGCAGAGAAATGATACAACCTTCCGTCAAATTTTGGGGCACACCATCGTTCGATATGTTTTCCAGAATTTAGACGACGACGAAAAAGCCGAGGTTGGCCAACAATAGCTGCAGCAAAACAATGATAACCACAACCAGCAGATAACGCATGTGTGTAGATCCAGTGATTTACCAACAAAATTGTGGCTGGGCGGTAGCCAGACCGCCCAAACCCAAAAGTTCTAGAAAAACAGGAACCATGCAGCGTGCATTTCGTAAGCCAGCTCTAAAAAACCGATGAGACACCAAGGTACGGGGACAGATGTCTACGGACAGACCTTGCATAGAAGCATGAGATGAGTCTTAAGAAACTATATTCATACGTCAGGAAGAGAAAATCTACTAGGTATGCAGCACTCACTTAATAAGGCCCAAGTAGATAAAATGCCTTCAGAATGGAGATTGATGAAAGTGTTAGCGCCGACTTTGGCAAAGCTTAACATTCCATCGACCAGTCAAGCTTACTAACGGCCAAATTGCTTCCGATGTTACCCATTGTAGAAGAGCTTCACACAAGAAAATCTCCCTGATTCGACGAAACTCACCCGTCTGTTGTGAAACAATGCACGAACGCCCGACGTGGCCAGCTCATTTGCCTTTTCAGCAATCATCGTAAGAATGCAGTCTTTCATGGGAAAGAGAGAGCACCATTCTCCCACCCATCTACAAAGGAGATAGGAGCAACCGGAAGTTCTACCGACCCATTATATTTCTGTAATTATTGACAAAAAGTAGTGTAAAGCCCGGTAGACGACCACACTGGGGAATACTCGAACCAAAAGGAAGCGCTTAGTAACAACAACAATTTTAATCTCAAACGATGAGTTTTAGATGACAACTGGCGAATTACGGGCATCACCATATTGATAATATTTCTGGGGGCACGACGACTGCGGTTTCATCTGTGGTACCAGAGGGAGGCTAGCGAGGTTTATATATGATAAAAATGATGATTGCACACTTCTGAAGCAGATTCAGGTCGTTTTTAAGGGTGAGGACGTCAGTACAATATGGCTAATTCAGACAAAAGTCACATCCACATTCGTAGTTTCTGTCGACTGGAATGTGCTTTACAGAGATTTCAGATGAAATGGACACGTCTGCTTTCGGAAGTAAAAATCACTCAATAGGTGGAATGCTGGTTGATACGGATTCTTTAGAAAAATGCATCCCCGACAAAAAATTATTATTTTACTGTTCGGCGTGCGAAACCCAAGTTGGTCGTTATAGATAGGTGAGGGTTGGCAAGTGACAATTAGGGTGACAACCGAGCAGAAAGGTTACAAAATCTACGATAAGTTGGTGACCAACAGAACAAGAGACCCACAGTTGGCAGTGTTTAAGCAGTTTGGATGCACTGAAAGCCTGTTAAGTGCAAGAACCTCTGGTGAGAAAAATTTGATGTAAGATGGAGGTTTTGGAAGATATCTTTTATTGGCACCATGCAAACAGCGGGACTGGAAATAATCTTGAGTGAAAGAGAGCTTCTGAACGGAATGATTTGCCTCTCAATCTCACTATCTTCCTTTCCTTCCCTCCTGGATTCGTCTGGACTTCATCCTTCCTTTTACTTCACCTGGATGCCTCTTTTTTTTACTTCACTTCCCTTCTTTCAACCGCTTTGCATTCTCTTTAGAGCAGTTAGAAAAGCTTTCTGGCCACCAATAACTTAAAGAGCCTTTATGTCATCACTCCGGGACAAACAATGGATAACAAGTTCAACCAAAATTTAAAAACTCATCGAATTTCCCCGGGGCAGGTAGTATCTGAAATAAGACATATCCCTTCTCTATGTCATTACAAGTAATACTTATTTTTCTATAATAACTTTTCACTCCCATCTTTATCGTGCCCTATTCCTAGCACTTTTTGGGTAAAGTCTATTACTTACTTGCGTGCAAAGACACTAATCGTAAAAGGTTAGTCAACCTTATAGGCAGCTCTGCTACCCTCCACAAAAAGCCAAACTACAATTTGCAAGAAAATATAACTTCAAATAGACAATCTCTAACTCCAGAGATATGAGCAAAAAAACTTACATACTTCTGCGACCACCGAAGGAGTATAACCGAAAAGACGAACTGAGAGTCAAGACATAGAAGCGAGAGCTCAAAAACTACAAGTTTCCTTTACTCTCACTATTGGTGTAGGATGTTGGATGTTGAGGTGACGGAGAAATTGGACACCAGTTACAATTACCCAGGCGATGCCTCAAAAGCCTATGGTGTACTACACTTTGTTGGCGAGCTATTAGGTGTCCACGCCATAGGGCTCTTTTTGAAACTCTACAGGACTTACACATGACCCCATTTGGAGGTCCATAATGTCTTCGCTCCATCACAACCGAAAAGAGCCACGAACCTACTGGGAAAAGTTCAGAGGCGAGCCACAAAAGGGGTTGTCGGGATGCAACGAAATCCACGTGAGGATAGACTGAAAGATCTAGGTCTATACTCACTTAGTTACTGAAGGTTAGAGGGTGAAATGATAATGACTTACAGAACACTTAGTGACCCAAGTCACCCTAAGAGAGGAATACTACCTAGTGGCCACTATGGTGATCATCATGGAAACCCTAAGAGAGTTGCCCACCAGAGGTCAGAAACCCATATGCGCTCACGCTTCTTCTCCCTTCTGGTATGTAGGCACTAGAATGCATTGCCAGCAGAGTTGGTCTCCCCCTATCTGTTGAAAGTTTCAAGAAAAGGCTAGATAGTCACACTGAGACCCACGGTCTACTCGCATGCAGTTGTAATACGAACTAAACGGAAGGAATCAACTGCTGTCACGCCATTCCAACTGTGTTATGTCCCCACCAGTTTTCTTTCCACCATAACCATTTAAGCCCCTTTTCAACCCCCACTTGCAGTGGATTAGCTTCATCTACCTAAGTTCTTCATATCTTTGTACCCCACCTTGTTTAACTTGGGTGTAAGTAGATAACTCCATCAGTTCATCTTTCTTTTCCCTCTACTAGCACAAATTTGGCTTTCTAGGTCTTAATTTCACTATCTTTAACTCTATCTGACGACCAGTCTGAACGACTTTCTGGCAACTCGACATCTGAAGAGACCAACTGCACCACAGTCCATAGTGAACTAATCAACACTTAATCTCCTGTTCTATATACCAGAGCTATGGCAGACGATTGGGTGGATCTACTGCATCCGAATCCGTCAAAGAACTGGATCTATTCAGCAAGACCAAGAAGCGAGCAAGGAGAAATCGACTAGTTTGCAGAAGCTCGTCAAATAGATATTGGATTTTGGATGTTGGAGGCGGTTGTCCTAAGTTTACGTCGCATTCTCAAGGTCAGTTTCCGGTAACTTGTTTTAGGGAAAAGTCCTTTATTATTGTTTTCGTTGAGATGAGAACAAGTCACTTTTTTGTTATTTGATATTTAAACTAGGCTTTTGAGGCATCATCTCCACACTTGTACCATAGGGGATCGCATACTCAGCACTCTGGATAACAGACATCGAGTTTGTTCTCGTTTCGCTTCGTCTGCCTTAGGGTAGACATTAAAGAGAGCTTTTTCAGAAAAGTGGAATACACCCCACTACATTTGATATTGGATTCGAAATAACTTCTGAAGTGATAGACCGAGATAGAATCAAACGAACGTTTTATGACCACTACAAGTTTTATTGCTAATAGTATGTGTTTTAGTCAACATCTACCCGCGAAAAACCAAAGGGCATGAAGCAAATCATGATAAAAACTCTGGGCGAAACGTGCAGTTCCGCAGCATTTGCCCGAGTTTTTCTCTGTGTTCTCTCCCTATTTCTCCGCGATGTGCCCCACGTTTCTTTCGATTTATCCCCTGTTCAGGAAATGTTCCTTCGCTTTTCCCCGGGGTTCCCGTGAGATTGTTGACGAGGATGTGTGTTCTAGATTACTCATGAGTCATTTCAAAATATAGCATCCTATAGTTCTACCAAAAATTGTAGTCGAACTTCAGGTTGAATTCAATGTGTAACAGCCAACAGTTAGGTGAATTTGTCATCCATTTCAGATGCACACATTCGAAGGTTTCGGAACAGGGCAATATTTTGTATCTATTAACCACGGAAATCTAAAGGTGCTACGCTTTTATGACTATTAATTGTCGTCTTCAAATAAAGTAATGTGGCCGGTGTATGGTGATGACATTCCAGAATCATTATGATCAGCTACGTACATATTTATGTTCTTATCTATGGTGTATAGCGTGAAGTATGTATCGGACTCGTAACTCACTGATTTTAATCCAAATCAGTGAGTCAAAAATATCGTCAATGCATCCTTATCTGTTTAGTATTCCAGTCCTTCTTGTACCTAAGCTACATTTGAGCTGCAAGTGAATATTAGCCGCAGTTTCCTTGAAACTGTCATTTAAGCTAGTTGCTTTGCACTTAATATGAGGACTTTTCCTCTTTTCATCAATTGAAATTACCTACCATCGAAATCAGTCTGAAATTAAATTTCCCTTATTTCAACTAACACGTCAGTAAACATGTAGTTATTCCCTACTGATATCTAAAAGCAAAGCATTGGGTCCTACTTCTCCCTGTTACAACTGTTTTGCAGCCCTTCCATTTTGAGTATGAGTTGAAGGATCAGTTTCCCTGTCCTATTCAGGTTGATGATATATGATGAAAAACCAGGTCACCTGTTTCGGATGCTCATCCTGAAATTTTGTTAGTAACTTTTCTCTCTTGACTACTTTTCCTCTAACCATCCGCCTTATGACAGAGACAGAATTAACGTAGAACATTGCACACAGGTGCATCGCTTCAAGTTTTTACACTTCACAGTAGTACACAAACAAAAGGTAGATAGGAAAAGTGATATCAAAGTAGACAAAGTTGTCTGAGAGGATAAACAATCTGAAGATAAAGGTTAGCGTGAATACTGAAGCTTTAGAATTTATCAAGGAGTGAATACATCTACACCATGTGACCGATATTCAGCTGTCTTCAAGAGTCGTCTACCACTGATTACTTTCATCTCGGAGACCCTAACCAGGCACTCTACATCTCCTAACACAACAGGTCAACAGTTAAGAACTTGCTACACTGGTGCCACGTCTTCATCTGGTCACCTTGAACCCTCTTCCAACTTATCCAGCTTCTCCTACCACAGCACGGGGTAGGGGATGGGTTAACATCCCCATAACATGACCAAACCACCTCAAGCGACGAAGGTTTGCAACCTCATCAATCGACTTGCCTATCTTGCCTGGTACCCTTCGTCTGACCTTAACATTGACCACACAGGGATTTCACCAAACGCTAAAAATGCTACTCCATTTGAACAAACCGGATGCTTTCAACTTACCTAATATCTACTAATTTTTACTTTCAAAACACATACCATTAGTCAGAATGGAAAATATTGTCCGATTTTATCACAAGATAATTTTAATTATATATTTTATTAGAACACAAACATGGTACACCAAGACCACCAAAAAAACGCCATACAAGATAATGTAACAGCATTATGAAGACATAAAACGAAGGGAAGTGGATAAAGAGAAAAACAATGAGAATAGAATGATTAGAAAGACAGTCAAATAAAATACGTTCGAAGTAAAGCATTCATTACTTTTCGGCAGCAGAAAACAAAAGGAAGGGACACAGTGATCCCCACTGACTTTGGTTCTGAGCTGTCTGATAACATCTGAGTTGCGTGATCTCTCAGACCGGACGTCGGAGAATAATGCACCAGCAGATGCTAACCCGATACAACTATCCTTCATCCTACGGTGCCACATCATGCACTGACCATCCCACTGCTTCTCTATCCAATCCCAGGGCTAGCAAACAATGAACGGCATAGAAACCATTGGGACGACATGCGTAACACATCCAAGCCACCGAACCCGGTGTTCAAGATGACTTCACTTATTGAATGACCATCTCCATCATTCCCAAACATGCTGTCTTACCCCATAATTACATACTTGGTGTTGTCACCGGGTGCCAGCAATCCTACGGCGACAACGATGATCAAACATAACATAACTTTCAACCATTAGGTTCGAACACCGCTCTACCTACCGAAGTTTGGGCAGCCAAGTAGTATCACTATCATACTAGGTGTGGCTCATTTTCTTTCTTTGTTTCCTTCTTTCTAGAAATTCTATCACACAATTACCTAGATACACAGACTTTTCGACTACTTCCAACAGCTCATCACTGAAGGTAAGCTCTGGCATAGGCTTTTACTAATCTTGCAAAAGTACTTTTCACGTTGATAGTGCAAAGCATATACCATACTTACTGACACTAATCACCAACTGATTAAGGGCGATTTCAGTAGGCTGTGTTATCGCACAGTAAAAAGATATCGTTCGCATATTCCAGATCTAATTACGATTCTCCAGGCAGCAAATCTACATCACCATCAAGCACCACCTTCAGGGCTGTCTCAAGAATGTCATTGATGGCAAAGTTAAAGAGAAATCGGACAACCCTTACCTAAACCCACTCCTGGTTTGGAACAATGGAGACAAATAAATGTATACCCTCACTCTACATGAGGTGTTATAGTATGGACCTTTCAGGATGGTAATAAACTTCTGAGCCACACGCCTCTCTAACAGACAATTCCGGAGTACTGCTAATTTACCTCTTCTCCCTAAAACTCTACATCTGACTTCAGCGTTACTCACGTGGTGACACCACGGAATACGGCCTTTACCACGAAGGCAACAGTGATCAAGCGCTTGAAGCCTTCTTATGTCTTCCACCTTCAATGGCCATGTTTCACAGCCATACAGCAGAACAGAACGGACTGCTGTGCAGTACACGCGACTCTTGATCGACAATCGGATATCGTGGCGGCGCCACAGGTGGCGTAAGTTGGCAAAGCCAGTCAAGCCTTTTGTATCCGTGCAGAGATTCCGTCGGCCACTGGGCCACCAGAGCTGATCCTACTTCCCAGGTAAGTGAAGTGGTTGACACACTGTAATCTCTATTGTTAGCCGTGACACCGTTGAAAACCAATCCTGAGCAGCAATTTGCATTTGGGTGGTGAGAAAAGCATCCCAAACATTCTCAAATTGCCACTCAACGTGCTCAGAAGACTCTGCATCTTGTCAGTGTCTTCACCTAACAGGACTATATCGTCCTCGCATTCTAGGTCTAACGAAACTTCTCCTGCGATTAGGTCAACCGCTGTGTAATCAGGTGACGAGAGGGGGACCTCTATAAGAATATCTATGATAAAATTGAATAAGAATGGAGAGAGCAGGCACCCTTAACGAGCACAGTTCCCGAACATCTCTTCATAGGCTCTAACATGCCCACAAGTGTTCGAGTAAAGAGCCCTCAGCAAGGTGGTGTACTTACTCGGTACGCCTTTCAGTGAAATACATTACCATAAGGCTTCTCGACCAAATAGGTCGAATGTAGCCTTCAGGTCGAGAAATAGAGCTATTGTCTTACGTGCCTGCGTTCCAGAACCTGGTGGAGTGTGAATATTTGGTCGGTACATTCGCGGCAGGGCCTAGAGCCTGCCTGGTTTTCTCTGGGTTGCTGTTCCCGAGCTCCACTCAGGCATCTGAGAATTATAGAACCTAGAATCTTGGACACTATGTTCGTCAGGCTGATTCCTCTGTGGTTATCACAAGAGGACTTCTCGGCTTTCTTGAAGACTGGGATAATCGGTGATTTATACCAGTCAGAGGGGATCGTATTTGATTCCCATATACTAGTTAACACTTCTGTTAGCCTAACTAAGAGCCCTCTATCACCATCCTCGTATACCTCTGGAGTTAGTTCGTCTGCTCCTGATGCCCTTCCTCTTTTCAAGTTACCCACAGCTTTCTTGGCTTCTGCAAGTGTTGTGGGGGCTTATCTCAATGTTCCATTCAGGATTCGACTGGATAGCAGGCAGCGCAATGGTGGCAGGAGGCCAGTTAAGCTGTTCCTCGAAGTGTTCTGCCCATTGTTCCAGTCGTCTCCTCTCATCATCATCATCATCATTATCAACATAGGACCAGGCATTACTGCGTAACGGTCCGAGTTGCCACACCTCATATCAGCACATCAAGTAAAAAGGTAGTGAGGTGAAGGATGAAGATAAGTGAATGCAGTCAAAAGAAATATAAAGTACGAGAAGAAAGGAAAGAGGAGTGACAAAATAGTGAGATTCGGTATAGCGTTGTTAAGATGAGGATAATGTGTGTATACATCTGCGCCACTGACTTCGGTTCTGAGCCATATCACCTAGGGTCTCCAACCACTGGTTCCTCTTGTCCCGTGGACCCCAACCACCTAGTCTGCATCGTCCTACATGGCTTAAACCAACAGTCAGAGACTTCATACATTGGTGCCATGTTTTAGTCTGGCCACCTCGGGCCTTTTTCCAGCCTGAACCCACCTCAGCCAACATTGTGTGACGAGGCAATCGGTGACTAGGCATACGTAGTACGTGTCCCAACCATCTCAGTCGATGAAGGTTCACAACCTCGTCGACTGACTTACCTCTTCTCCCTAAAACTCTACACCTAACTTCTGCATTACTCACATGGTGACACCACGGAATACGTCCTATACTACGAAGGCAACGGTGGTCAAATACCTGTAACCTTCTCATGTCTTCCACTTTCAATGGCCATGTTTCACAGCCATACAGTAGAACAGAGCGGACTGCTGTGCAGTACACGCGACCCTTAATAGACAAACGAATATCACGGCGGCGCCATAGGTGGCGCAAATTGGCAAAAGCCAATCGAGCCTTTTGTATCCGTGCAGAAATCTCATCGGCAACTAACCCACCGGGTTGATCCTACTTCCCAGGTAAGTGAAGTGGTCAACACACTCAACCACTTCACTCTCTATTGTTAACCGCGGTACCGCTGAAGACCAGTCCTGGAGCAAAAATTTGCATTTGGGTGGTGAAAATCGCATCCCAAACATTCTCAAATTCCCACTCAAAGTGTTCAGAAGACTCTGCATCTTGTCAGCGTCTTCACCTAACAGGACTATGTCATCTGCATATTCTAGATCTAAGGAAAATTCACCTGTGATCCGGTCAACGTCTTTGTAATTAGGTGACGAGAGGGAAACCTCCATAAGAATATCTATGATAAAATTAAATAAGAATGGGGATAGTGGGCATCCTTGACGGACACCACTTGATGAGTATAGCTCCCTGGACAACTCACCATAGGCTCTAACATGCCCACAAGTGTTCGAGTAGAGAGCTTTCAATAAGGTGATGTACTTACTAGGCACGCCTTTCAGTGACAGACACTGCCATAAGACTTCTCGATCAACGGAGTCAAATGCCGCCTTCAGGTCGAGAAATACAGCTATTGTCGGGCGTCTGTAAGCATGCCTATGTTCCAGGACCTGGCGCAGTGTGAATATTTGGTCGATACATCCACGGCCAGGTCTAAAGCCTGCCTGGTTTTCTCGGGCTTGCTGTTCCCGAGCTCCACTCAGGCGTCGGAGAATTATAGAACTTAGGATCTTAGACACTATGTTTGTCAGGCTGATTCCTCTGTGGTTATCACAAGAGGACTTCTCGCCTTTCTTGAAGACTGGGATGATCAGTGACTTAGACCAGTCGGAGGGGATCGTATTTGATTCCCATATACTGGCTAACACTTCCGTTAGCCTGACTAAGAGAACTCTACCACCATTCTTGTATACCTCAGCAGGTAGTCCGTCTGGTCCTGCTGCCCTTCCCCGTTTCAGGCTACCTACCGCTTTCTCAACTTCTTCTAGTGTTGGGGGACCTGTCTCTATGTCCCATTCAGGGTCCGACTGGATAGCGGGCAGCGCAATGGTGGCTGGAGGCCAGTTAAACTGTTCCTCAAAGTGTTCTGCCCATCGTCCCAGTCGCCTTCCCTGCGAGTGAATCGCCGATCCGTCCTTCTCCGCTATAACCTCACTAACTGTTGTTGACCATTTCCCCCCAGTCTCCTTAATAAGTCTAAATAACTGTCTACTGTTACCGATCGCCGCTGCCTTTTCCATCTCTTTAGCCTTTGCTGCCCACCACTGTTCACGATCGTTGCGCAGACTTTTCGTCAGTTTATTTTTAAGTTGCGCTCGCTCTTCATTGTACTCAGAGCCTGCAGGGATGCATTCACGTGCATCCATTAGTTTGGAAGAAGCTGCTGATATCCACTGGCTCTTTTTAGCCATTATCTTGGAGTCGGCTACAGTCTCCAGTGCTGCTTTTACAGTAGACTGAAGATGGCACCAAGCTTCTTCTGGATGAGTGACAGTCTTTTGTTCCGATAACTGCCTAGCCAACTTCTCACTGAACACGGCTTTGGTGTTTTCGTTGTCCAGCAGAACTCGTAGTGGTTTTGTTGCCAAATTTTTTCTACGTCCATTGAGACGCAGGCATATACGTGCTCGGACCAACGCATGATCGCTGTCCAAACACGTACTCCAGAAGGAGCGGCAGTCTTCCACCGATCCTCTCCAGCGATGACTAATAGCAATGTGGTCTATCTGTGTCCATCGCTGAGTCGAGCTCGGTGGACGCCAGGTCAGACAGTGCCTTTCTTTATGTCTGAAATTTGTGCTGGCTAAAAATAGGCGGTTATCTGAGCATAGTTGTAATAGGCGATCACCGTTATCTGTACGTTCAGCTGGGATTCCGAAAGTGCCACCTAAGTGCCTTTCTGCCTCACTCAGTCTACCCACCTGTGCGTTGAGGTCACCTGCAACAACCACGTTTGAACGTTTGGCTTTCGAGAGGAGGTTAGACAGTTTTCGGTAGAATTCGTCGTTCACTTCATCCGAACTGCAGTCAATGGGTGAGTAAGCAGAGATTACTAGGAGATAACAGTGAGTTTCACTATTTCTTTTAGTTCTCACTGTGCCGTTCAGCTGGATAGCGCAGAGGCAACTATCAACTAGTATCTAGTCTAGTAGTGAGGTTTTTGCCCTAGTGCTTAATGCTATGCCTACACCTACAAGACCGCGAGAACTAGCCATCAAATCTCTAAAAAATCGAAAGGTGAAGTTTGTGGACTCACCAGATTGGCCGGGAGAGGTTAGGTGAATGATCGCACTTGGGTCCTGTATGCTTGTCTCACAAACACAGCACACATCCATGGCTTCAGTTGCTAAAGTTCTTTTCAATGAAGCCTGTTGACCAACTTGACGGAGGGTGAACACATTGAAGGCCCTGATGTGTAATTTGGAGCGTAGTTTAAGGAGGCCAGTGATGCTGTTCTGTGGATTCAGATCATTGTCGAAGGCTATTTCTTAAGGTATCTGAAATTGATTTGTCAAACCTCAGAGCTCGTTGGATATTTGCTGGAGGCCTGTCACACTCAGCCTTTTGCGTATGGTTGTTTTGGGTTCGGATTGTCTGAAAGAAACGACAAGTGAACCAACACCACCAGCCCGGCAGACCGTGGGGCATGGTAGAGTATGTTATTTTTGGGGCTGACCTTTTCTAACCCCTACCCCACTTCTAAGGACAAGGCAGCATCAGCATGGCACTGCTGGTCATCCAAGAGGAACACCTTACTGCTGTCACACACCATCCAGCCAGCAGCAGCACAACTTCACCCTGAGATCCCCATCATATTGTAGTAATTTGCATTACAACGGTGGCTGCTTTTCGTCTAACCAATATCCAGCAGACCTTCCTGGTGTGTTTGGACCTCGAGGGAACAAGTGTTCCACCAGCATAGCTCGTTGGGTCATTGTGATGTGCAAGCCCGACCACCATGTCAAGGTAGCAGCTATCGGTCGGACGAAACCTGGTTTGAACCCCGTGAATCATTTTCTCGCGCGTTTTGCGAAGTATGATAGCAGCCAATATTCTCAACGCGACTGGTAACAGACTAATATCCCGGTGGTTGTCACACATATTATGTAGACCCTTCCTAAAGATGGACACAATGATGGCCTCGTTTCAGAGTGGTGGAACACTCCCAGTCTGCTACATCTCAAGCAGTCTAGTCAGTTCCCTGACTAGGATTGTTACTCCATCCTTAAAAAGACCCTGGCGTAAGTTGTCTGGCCCGGGTGTCTTATGACGTCTCAGTAGTTGGGGTTTCTGATGAACCTCCGCTTCGTTAAGTGGGTCAGAGTTAACTGATCATGGAGCACGATACACCGAAGTTGACAGTGCTGGAGCCGTGAGCCGGCTAAACTACTCTCTAAAGTGCTCCACTCAGCATTCCAGGCGTCTGAAGACTGTTTATCAGTGTACTATATTCCTCACATACCATCTCACTGACACCAGGCCTCTTGGTCCCAGTGGTCAGAGTGAGCTAAAACAGCTTTCGACTATTGGCAGATACAGTTGCTGCATCAGTCTCACTTGTACGTTTTAGTCACCAAGCCTGGCGGTCCTTGAGTAAGCGTTGTGTAATCTTTCGCGTAAGAGATTTGTGCAAACCATTGTACTCGCCATCCGACGGAATAGTCTGACAGGTGTCAAGACGTTGCAGAGAGCTCTCAAAGACCTAGTGTTTATTAATGGAACATTCTTACACTTTTAATGCAAGATGGTAGAAAATAAAACTAAAATTGATACGCCCTTTTCCCGTTTCCTGTCGAAGTTTCTCATTCCTTAGAATTATACTGACTGTTCTTTATCCAGTTGTATTTGAGTTATAGGAAAACACTTCTGTGGCATTTATGACGGTAAAATATCTATGGACGGTTTTTACATCCCTCATAAATGTTAACCTAATTCACATTTATTATCTATGTGTAACGGTCCAAGTTGGCACACTTATTAGCACATCAAGTAAGTGTTCACTGAAGTGAGAGAGAAACAAGGAGGAAAGTAGTCAACAGTGGTAGGAAGTCGTCGAAGCAGAGCTTCATTCGGCTTTGATGACCATCAAAACCCAAGATGAGCGTAGCACATACTAAAGCATGATCAGAGTCCAGACAAGTACTCCATATGGAGTGATAATCTTGTATGCAGCCACGCCATCGGTAGCTGATTGCGTTATGATCTATTTGAGTTTAGGCTTTAGTGGGAGAAAAGTGATGCCAACTATCACAACAGCAATGGCTGTGTCGAAAGTTGGTACTGGCGAAAAATGGGTTGTGATCTACGCAAAGATGCAGAATACGATCCCCATTATCCTACTTGAAGTCAACTAGTCCACCTAAACGACTCTCGTCTGAGCCTAGACGCCTGGCGTACATATTCGAGTCGCCAGCTAGGACTACGATATCTGTCGAGTGCAGCTGGTTGAGAGATGGTCACTCATTTGATGATAGAATTCATCCTTGGTTGCATCCGGGCAGCAGACCGTCGGAGCGTAGGCAGAGATGACAAACAGACATCACTTCTCTTACCGGTTACGTCTTACTCGAGATTAACCTTCTAGCCTGACAGCACGCAGACGACTGTTGATGGGGGTCCAATCGAGAAGGGTAGCTTTGACTTGAGCACTTAGTGCGACACCAGCAACCCCGGTTGCTGATGCCACAGGGTCTCCAGATAAGTGCACAGGGAACAAACTTCTCGCGCTGAAAGATGGGGAACTAATTTCATGCACTTCACTGGAAACTTGTATGCGAGTCTCTGAGATGCAGCATACACCAATAACGAGGCTTTCCAGAGTCCTTGCCAAACCTATCTGTTGTCCGATCTGCATCAAGGTGAAAACGTTGAAGGTGGCGAGCTTAAACGGTGCGTGTGGTTTCAGGATATCTGTATCAGACATTGCACTGGAGGATAGTTTTATGGGAGCAACTGTTTAGTGACTAAAAACTGTTCAGTCTAAACAATGGAGAGCCTCTGAGTGAAGTGAAGACCAAGACAAAAGCGAAAATGATAACGATAAAAAAGTACAGTTCATACGTAAAAACAACAAAAACAATTTTATAACAATGAATCGAATAGTTGGTTATAATGTTCGCAGTGCAGAAGGCTTGAGTATTTGCGGTTCAAAATCTCCACTATATATTGTGACTTCATATTTTGTATGGGGGCTGATAAACTATCCGGGAAATCAGACCGAAGCAGATGGCTGTCTTGGAGTACCACTCTCCGAACTTTTCACTAAACTACAAGGCAGTGGAGTAATATCAGGAGCTGCATTTCAATGTTTGCCAGTGACGGAAATAGGTTTATTCGCGATTCGTTTCTTCAGAAACCTGAAGCCCATGTATATCACTAGTTTGGAATAAGGGTTTTCCATCTCCCTTAGGTGATCCCTCAGTATCCACCAATCCTGTAATAAGTGCCGGATATTCGCCTTTATGGAAAGACCCTCGACACGTGAAGGTAGTGGATAGGACTTTCTTTGCAGAGGTTATGAATGCATACTGGGGCATTTGTTAGGCCCATAAGATAGTTACACATCACCGTTCTGAGAACCAGCCAAAATAAGTTTTTCTGCATAGGTTGATACATTTGAGGTTACAGGAACCCACCAGTTTCTCCTGACCTTGGATTACTGATGTTTATCTATCCTTACCACAGTTCCTAGGATATGGTAAGTTGCACCAGTCTCTGTAATATCCAAACAAAGCGTCGTAAGTTCCTCCTCAGAAATAAAAGCTTACAATCTTGAAGACAAGTATAGATAGACTTCAGCTGTTTATTTCTGGAATGCTACAGAAAAATATATGCTGGAACAACTGTATGGATGGGGTCGAACTAGATAGTTCGAAAGAGCAACAAGTTTCACTAATCCTTTACAACTGTGGTCAATAAAAATATAGTCTGCTAATTGGAAATTATGTAGCAATTTTCACTTTGTTTATCATTCTGCTTAATACATCTCTTGATGACCTAAAAGTATCGAATTCTTATATTGTATTTTAGTGACAAGTGACAATGCCATACGCTAACCAACCTATAGTCACTTTGACGAGTTATAACAATGAAAACCTAAAGTTCATCCTTGAAGAGACAGATTTGAGCGTAGCGAATGCCATCCGTCGTGTTTGTATTGCTGAGGTGCCCACTCTGGCTATTGATTGGGTACAGATCGAAGAAAATAATACAATGCTGAATGATGAGTTCATTGCTCAGCGCGTTGGATTAATTCCGTTAACATCTGATAATGTAGTTGATAAAATGACGTATTTCCGCGAGTGCCCTTGCCGCGAATTTTGTGAACAATGTTCTGTGGAACTCACATTAGATGTATGTTGTACTACAGATGCACCTAGGCATGTCACAGGAGCAGATCTGATTAGCAGTAATCGTGATGTGCAACCAGTACCTTCAAGAGATGCTGATGACTCTTCTTATGTTGGCCAGGTTGGTATACATTTTTAAAAGTTTCATAATTATGTATATAATGCAAGATGGTTGTAAATAAAACTAAAGTTGATACGTCCTTTTCCCGTTTCCTGTCGAAGTTTCTCATTCCTTAAAATTATACTGACTGTTCTTTATCCAGTTGTATTTGAGTTATAGGAAAACACTTCTGTGGCGTTTATGACGGTAAAATGTCTATGGATGGTTTTTACATCCCTCATAAATGTTAACCTAATTCACATTTATTATCTATGTGTAACGGTCCAAGTTGGCACACTTATTAGCACATCAAGTAAGTGTTCACTGAAGTGAGAGAGAAACAAGGAGGAAAGTAGTCAACAGTGGTAGGATGTCATCAGAACAGAGCAACTAGGAATAAGAGAATACTGAAATTCATTATGGTCAATGAGTTGAAGATGATGTGTGGATATGTCTACGCTATTGAGATCGATTCTGAGACATTTTATCTAGAGTCTTCAGCCACTGGTTTCTGATGTCATATAAACGCTTACCTCTAGTGGTCTATTTCTTTATATGGTTGAGATCAAAAGTCAAATACTTTATGTACCAAAGCTACTTTTTTCCTGGCTGTTTCTCACTATGCGCTACAAGTAGACGATGACAATGTATGTGTAATACATATCCCAACCACCTAAGTCGACTAAGGTTCACAACTTCATCAACTATCCTTCCCCTTCTACCCAAAACTCTACACCCGACTTTCACATTACTATTACAACAAAACCGTGATACGGTCTGTACTACAAAGGTAATGGTGGTCAAACACCACCGAAACCTCGTTTCTCCTACTTTTAATGGCGATGTCTCGCAGAGATATAGTAGAACAAAATGAACTGTAGCGGAGTACACTCAGTGCTTAGTAGGCAGTCGGACTTCATGCTGGCGCAATAGATGGCATACTTTGTTAAAGGCCAGCTAAGCCCTCGGTATCCGTGAGATGATTTTGTCAATCACTGACCCATCAGGGCTGATCCGACATCTCAAGTAAGTGAAGTAGTCAACGTGGTCATTCAGTTCACTTCCCATTGCTATAATGAATATCAACGCAGTCCAATCTTTGGCAAACAGTTTACATTTGGGTGGTGACAAATATTATCAAACTGTTACTCATGGTGTCTAGAAGAGCTTGTATCCTGTCGACATCTTCACCTAACAGGAGTATGTCATCTGCGTCCTCAGTGTTGACTGTGGGGTCTCCTATGAAAGGACCAATTGGTATAGAGTCAGATGACTAGAGGGAGATCTCCTTATGTACGTCTTCGACAAAATTAGATAAGAAGTAAGAAAGTGGACATCCTTGATGGACACCATCTGACGTATACAGCTTACCTGATACCTCACCATAAGCTCTGGAATTCTTGTGAATGTTCAAATACGGAGCTTTTGACAGAGTAATAAATTTACTTGTTCCTTTCTGGCATCTTTCCGACGACCAGCTACGTCTTTTATGCTGTTCTTATAGCAAACTCATCTTTCACGTCATCCGAACTGCAGTCAATAGGTACATCAGCAGAGATTACAAAGAGACATTGGTGAGTTTCACTATTCTTTTTAGTACCCTCTGCACTGTTCAGTCGAACAGCCTACAGGCAGCTATCAACTGAGACTCAATAGAGTGGTACATTTTCTACCTCAGGACTTAATGTTACACTTATACCTTCAAGACCTCTGGAACTACCCATCAAATCTCCACAATCTTGAAGAGTGGATTTCGCAGGTTTACTGTATCGGCTGGTTGAAGTTCTATTTGCTTGTCTCACAAACAGCACACATCCAAGACCGATGATGACACAGTTTTGGTTAGCAAAGCTTTTTGTGTGATTTGACAGAGGATACTGATAGCTTCAATGTTTAGGTTAGGGCGCTGTTTCAGGAGACTAGAGATGCGGTTTCCTAAACTCAAATCATCATCAAGAGCTGCAAGGCTGGAAGAAATTAGATATGACGTAGGAATATTGGCCGATAGATGTGAAGAAAGATTATAAGCTGGAGGTGTTGAAAGTTGGTAATGATCTGAGGAGAATTGAGGGCTGACGGAGATACGAGGGCGACCGACACTTCTGGCTATCTGCATCGTAGAAGGTTACTTTTTTCCTAAAGTATCTGAAAAAAACTTCAGTCACTAAGCTAGCGCATTTACTATTTGAATTCTAAATAATTTTTATTGTAAATTCGTACTTCTACACAACTGTAGTTACGCTTCTATAGTCTTGGAAAATTTATATTTAACTATCAACAAACAAAAATTTTGCTGATAGAAACTGAATGTTTTTTATGTGCTAGAGACCTAATAGCTTCAGTTCACTGATACCGTTTGAAAATCAAAAATCCCCTAGCAACCTATTATAATTAATAACTAAATATCTGTACTATTTGTGTTCGTCACCTCCACAATGTTCATGTGACTATATGAGTGTATATGGAGAATTGTCAGTAAATATCTACTTTCAAATAGCTTTAAGATGTCCACTACACTTTAAATGCTTCTCATGCCTATGATGAATGAGGACGTTGAATTCACCTAGAATTTGTGACGCATTCTCTGGGGGGCCTATAATGTATCAATTCCCAGTTTTAAGTAATTAACAATGCTCTTGCTGTGTCAAATGTACCTATAGCAGGTTAGTTCACTTATCGTCTATAACTTATTTTTCTAATTTAGACTAAATGCTGTGAAATTTTGTATACTATAACGATGACTACTATTTATAGTAGTATTTTCCTGTACTAAAGTGTAACACTTTGTGTGATAATCTGGAGGAATATAGATTTGTATTTAAGGCTAGTTCATTTACATCTCAAAGAGGCAAACAGAATGAGAATTGTACAACCATTCCTGATACACATTAAGGTAACTATCAAAAATACTTACAAACTTCAGTTGGTAATTCAAGAGAATTATCATGCTAATGAAGTATGATCATTGTAATCGATATACAGGAAATATAAGTGTCTAGTTTAACTTGCATACTGTTCTATATCAGTATCAGATATAAAGTCGTGAGTAATACTAGTCAAGGCTAGACAATGAGCTCATTGATCTAGGTGCTTAGTTTCTAACCAATTGGCCAGGGTTCGAATACAAATCGACCTACCAAAGTTTTGGCAGTCAGGTAATGATTAATATAAGAGTAAAATTTGGGCACCGCAGCAGAGTATAATTCCAGGCAGTACTAAAGGAAACAAGAAGACAGAGACGAGGAAAAGAAAGAATGTTTATTATTAACATCTTGTACAGCAGTCAAATACTGCACACCTAGCACTAAGGCAGTCATTTGCATAATGTACTTCATTTCCTCTGCTTCTATCTTTATTTGCTCTTAATATGCCCGCATTCTCTTGCGTTTCTCTGGGCAGAGTCCTTACCCATTGCTGGTAATTGCCTTTGATTTCTTCCACCCTCTCAACATATACTACTTATATCCATTCTGATCAGCAACCCCAACTACAGTATCATTAGCCCTCACACTATAGGTGTAGCTAATTATCTACTGCACGAATATGCATAAGACTTCCAATTGGATTTTGATTTTTCTTTTGTAGACAGCGAAAGATAAATATTCATAGGTGAGAATAAAAAGCCATTAACTTTGTTAGTTGTATAGAAAGTAACTGGTTATATTGTGGGATCGTCAAAGAGTAAACAATCATTGGTTAATTAACTTAATATCACTTAGGTGGGATGCGTTGATGCTGTTTTATTCGTCCATCGTCAATGTCTTCAAAGTATGTTGATACTTTCTAAAATTCTTACCTTTTGAAAAATCCGAAAGACTGAATCATAGCTAAGTAATGTTTTGTACTTTGACTGTTACGCTTCATAAACAAACAGAAATAGGAAACAATTGTATGTTACCTCTTAGTCGCTATAGTTTATGGCAAAATATTGGGAGGAGGAAAGTGAAAAACAAGACAAGAAAATGAGAATAATGACTTCCCTTACTATTTATTGATATACTTGTAATTTTCCGCTATTTTATTGGATTGATTTGTTCGACCTCTATTTGCAATTTGGGCTCCTATGCGGATGCGTCGATATTACCTGGATGGTAATTATGGATTCCTCTGCTAGCCATAACCAAAAAATTAACATTCAGGCAATATCGAAGCATCTACGTAGAAACCCATATGCTAAAAGAGGTTGAACAATTCCATCCAATAAAACAACGGAGAATTGTAAGTTTATCAATAAATAGTATTAAGTAATACCCGTTGTATAAGAAGCGGCTATCGTTCCTGCGTGGCGTAGTGGACAACGTCTTTGCGTTTGAAGCGATGGGTACGAGGTTCAAGTCTCAGTGATAACAGCATCACCCACTGGGGTACGGGTACATCCGGTTGAAGAGTCCCATACAGGGCGAAACGCGCGTGCTAGATTTATCTGCTAGCTGTAACCAAAGAAATTGTGATTATATTCATTTTTGTAAATATGTATAAAATTCAATACATGGAAAGTAAATAGGAAAAACGGTACTTGATAGTAAGATATTTAAGAATTAGACGAAAGATTTGATATGGACGTACTTGTGTAGCTACAACCAATGATGTTTCTTTATACCACTTAAATTTTCGTGTCATGAATTTCAATTGTCCTGTGTACATAGTTCATAGCTTTAGGGGATTACATATTTATGGGATGACAGTTTTTATCATAAAAGAAAACCAGAATGCATTCAGTAACCTTAAGCACATTCGGGCTGTAAGCAATGAGCGACACCTATTGCTTCAGGGTTTATTATGCTACCCAGCTGTCCAAGCCTCAGTAAGTGGGGTGGAGTTCGAGCCCGTGACTCACTGATTGAAAGTCAACTGCCTAAACCAAAAGCTACAGCTCTCCTGATTAGTTGGTATCCAGTCAAAACAAGTTCATAGCCTTGAGGAGATTACACATATATATGGGATGACAATTTGTATCATGAGTCAATTAGCTTCACTCAACAAAACTGAAGAAAACCAAAAGAGATTAGGTAGATGCTTTATGTTATGTAAAGGTGTGGCTCGTTGGTTTAGGGAGATGAATATCAACCATTGGGTCATGGATTTCAAGCCCCTCTCCATCTACCTACCGATGTTTGGGCAACCAGGTAGTATCATTAGTCTTCACACATTAGATGTGGCTCAACGCCCACTTCACAAATGTACTTGATGCTGGTGAGTGGATTTCAATTTTTTTAATTATCATTTTCAGCTGATTTACAAGCCAATAATATTATGAGCAAAAATGCATTCAGTGGTATTTGTATATCCTCTCAGGAATCTATACTAATAGTAAAAATGCGTAAAGGTCAACGATTAAAACTGAGAGCAATCGCTAAAAAGGGTTTTGGTAAAGAACATGCAAAATGGAATCCAACTGCTGGTGTTGGCTTTGAATATGATCCGGATAATGCCTTAAGACATACATTTCTGCACAAACCTGAAGAATGGCCACGTTCAGAGTACTCAACACTACCAGAAGATGAGCATCAAGCACCGTATGATCCAACAGGAAAGGTAAGTCAGATGTAATTGTGTTAATAAATTTAGTTTTCTTGATGGTTTTTTCCACTTCTTACAAATCAATCGCTGTGATGATCATGTTATTGCACCACAAGCTATCTGTATTGTATAAAGGATTACTTGGTATGCTACCTGTTTGACTGCTCAAGTCGAAGTAAGCGGGACGGGATTTGAACTTGTGGACTCTACAACTCAGACAATTGGTTGACACCCAATCATTTATCTTTTGTAGACGTCCGACATTGAGTCAGTATCAGAGTTGTTAGAATATATCTATCGGACTGTCACAGTCTTCTGGCCCTTTCACTAGACACACATGCTAGTCGCGTATGCAGCAGGTAATGCTGTAAATTTCAAAGAGGTTTACATCACGCGTCTACACCAACCAGTGAGCCACTGAAAGGATGGTCACATTGGACAACTGTTTCGTCCTAATTCGACACTCTTCAACAGAAACCGTTGGGGGATCGAACCCAGGAACGTCAATTCTCACAGTGGGCTTATTACCACTCAATCGCTTGGTCAGAATTTAATGGCTTATATATTCCAATTTTTGTCAGTCTGTGATGTAGTGTGACAATCACTGGATACCATGTTGAGTGGAGACAAGCAGCAGGTTCTAGTGAGTATGATTTTGAAGTTTTTAAAGATTAGTCGTTTATATAATCGAATTGATATCGAAGCAGATAAAGTGGTATGGGAAAATAAATAATTTGAAGATAAGGATTAGTGTGAATTTTCAAGGTTTAGAAGATGTCAAGAAGTGGTGGAGAATTGGTTGTATTGTGTTCTCTGAGCTGGGTTATTGTTTAGTCGTGGAGCTTTCATCGTCTTTCTAGACTACATCTTCAGCGAAACTTTACCAGATGCCTATCGCGTACAACATCAACTACAAAGTCATCGACAGAAATCAACAAATGCATCATCCTACCGTACATTAAGAATATATCAGGAATCATGACAAGATTACTGAGACCATTTGGAATTGGTGTGGCTCGTAAACCTACAAATTCCCTCCACACCCTATTATTCAAACCAAAGTATGCAACAACCAAAGAAGACAAACCGAATATCATTTACAAAATCAACTGCAATAAATGTAGTCAACACCACATTGGACAAAGTGATCGCCCTTTTCGCCTTCGTCTACATGAACATCAATTGGCTATTAAACGTCACACACAACATTTCATCACTGATTTCAATGCACGTGCATAACAACCATGGACGTGAATTCAATCTCGACAATGTAGAAATTTTGGACAGAGGAAACATAAAGAATATCACAGAATTCCTGGAAGCTTGGCATTTAGGTCAGTCAGCAATCAACAGATGTATAGACATAGACCCAATTTATCAACCAAAGAGAAAAATGATAAACGACAGAAAGGTCATAGGTCAAGCAGAGGAACAACCAACAGGCAAATCTACGCAGTCAATGACACAACAATCAAAGGAAACAACCAATCACAGACCACATCGTCAGAGCAAGCCACTGAATCACTCTTGGAGAGATATTGACAGCTCACTTCATGCTGAAGTTAGTGCTGATGATGTGTAGAAAGGCGATGAAAGCTGTCCGACTAAACAACCCAGCTCAGAGAACACAATACGACCAAGATATCAAGGAGTGAATACATCTGCATCATTGTGACCGGTTTTCGGCCGTCTCCAAGAGTCGTCAACCACTGATTCCTTTCATCTCACAGACCTGAACCAGGCAGTTTACATCTCCGAACATGACTGAAATGAACAGTTCGGGACTTGTTGCACTGATACCACATCTTCAACTAGTCACCTTGATCCTTCTTCTAACCTAATTCAACTTCCCCTATCATAGCATGTCGAGGTAAGCAGTGGCTTTGGATGTGCCATACGTATCGAAGCCGTCTCAGCCGATGAATATTCTCAACAGCATCAGTTGACTGACTGCCACTGTTTTACTGGTGTACGCTATTTCCAGGAGTTCTTAACTTAGAATAAGTAGCTGTCGACTACTCCTTCGGTTGTTGTTGAACTCTTCTCACACTAATATTTTGTAATGAAAAGTATCTGTCACTAAATTATTTGTCCTTCCCGGTTATGCTATAATTCATTCATTCAAACACCTTGTGTGTAATCCACCCTGATATAAACGCCTTTACCCATTTTTAATGCACTAATACTTAGCGATTGATAATCACTAGTCTATATGAACAACGGTGGAAAAAGATATGCAATAAGAATTTGAAAAAAATGCATTCAACAAACAACAACAACATTGGTGATTACTTCATTATGTGCATGCATGCACATTTAAGTGAATATATACATGTGTACTCTCAGAATAATCCGGTTAGTGAATATTCTGTTCGGCTCACAAAAGGTGAGTGTAGAGATAGTGAAGTGTTATAGAAGGGGATTCAAAAATGTAAACTAAATGGAACCATGACTTCTAATAATCGTATGATAAATTAGGGTAATTTATGAAAAGAACAAGAAAGAAGGATTTGATTCAAATGAAATGTATCTGTTTTATTATGTTACCAGTTCTGTTCAACTGTATACAACGTAGAAATATGTAAAACATGAAATTACAATAGAACATTAACGTATATTATTTCACTGAAATTAATCAAAACACAACATGTAGGATAGCAAAGTAAAAAGACTACTAATTATGGGGTTCACATAAAAGAGATTACATTAGTGTCCAATTGCTCGACCTCTATTGGCATATGGGCTCCTATGCAGGTGCGTCGATGCTGCCGGATATTCATGATGTACATCCAGCTGACAAGTCCAAAATAGGATGAAACATGCATCCTAGTTTCCTGTGCTACTCACCAAGATCAATATAACATGATGAGTAGAACTTGATAGGTGTAAGTTGAAAATCAAATGAATATATAAAAATATGATCAAATCGGTGAACGGTTCATAAAATGGTTTACCAGGTAAACTAGGGATTGATGACATAAATCTGGTTTCAGATATTCGGTTACAATGACTTAAGCAGAATGAAGATTTAAATAGTTCAGTTTGTTGAACGATTCGAACAACCCTTAAAAATCTACTTGATAATGTCCAGTGTCTACTAGATCTTGAGAGACAGCTTGCTTCTCTCAATAATAGGCTCTGCCTGATATGATATATATGGTTAGTCCTCCTTCTGATGTAACTGCTCTAGCAGATACACTTAATTTAAGGTAGCATATAAGGAATACATGGTGACTTCTCATTGCTCCAACCAACGCAAAGTTCGAAGTAGAAAGTCTAAGTTAGCTACACAATTTGAGCCGACCAGTGAAGTGCTTAGTCTCTTGTTTGTCATCATTGTAATAGCATCACCTTTTGCATCGTTGTCAATAAAAAGCGGTTTCTTACAAGGTTAATTCAGTGAATATATTTATGATCATTTAAAATCAGTAAACAGTTCTCTTTGTTCTACTTTATGACTATAAAACAGCGATTAAAGTTGACGGAAATAAGATGACCCTGTGTGTTCTATCACTTTCGCCTTCGTAGCATAGGCCATCTTGTGAAACAACCATGTAAGTAATGTAAAGATTAAGCGTATTCATTTGATAAGGTTTGATATCTTCAGTCGCTGAGGTGCTTGGGACATGTGTTACATACACCGATCCACGATTCTTCTCGACGTACCTCGTTAAATGAAGAAATAGCATTAGACTAAAACAAAGCCAATGATAAGCAGATAAGTGAATGAATTTATCATTGACGTCTCTTATTGTATTGGTGTGAATCGTGTTAGGAAGTGCAGACTTTCTGGTTGGGCTGTGTGTAACAACCGAAACTGAAGATTTTTCAGAGTCGATTGCAACGATAAAAGTGCATCCACAGCGTACTTTAATGTGAACGATTACGTGACACTTCGTTAGGCCTTTTCCTTTTGTTCTACAGCATTCTAGGTCTTTGTTATGGTAGCTTTCATTTCTTTATTATCTCTCATCTGACTGTTGTCCAGATGAGAGTCAACACCACCAAGTTCTACATGTAAGGGCATCAGCCAGCTGCTAGGGGAGAACTATGGCACAAGGCTTCTAGAAATTCAGTCAGTGGATCACGATTCAAACCTGCAACCTACAATAAGAGTAAAACTAAGGCACTGTGGGAGAGAAAAATTTCATATTAAATTTATTTTTGAGGTAAACGGGGATTTTCAATTCCGAGGTAGTATTTTATAAAGGACTGACGTCAGTTAAAGAACCATTGAAAATCTGGGAACACTGAACAGCTGTTTCGTCCTAGAACGGGACTCCTCAGCAGTACACGCCCATGACCCGTCTAGGAATCGAACTCAGGACCTTCGGGTTTCATGGCGAGGGTGCAAACCACTCAGCCATTGGGTTGGTTCATAGCTTCCAACTTCTGTCAATTCACGATATAATGTGACTATCGCCCAAGGTCTTCAGTTGGCATCCGCTTCCCTTCCGACTGGTTGACCTAACAGGTTATATTAAATTGTTTATTTGATATACCATGCAGTGATACAGTATTATTGAGCAAATGACGTTTCGAAGAGAATTTATTGCCCATATTGATATCAAAGTAATCATATAAATTCCAAACTCCGTATACTATCATTTTGACTATCTGAGTGAGATAAACGTGTTTTAGAAGTGTACTATCAATACTGAGTGGTGACTCAAGATGAAATGAAAATTTACATAGACCAAAAGCTTTTCATTCTTTTATCCTAATGGCAGTAAAATTTTCCACATATCTATCTACAATATATGAGGAGTCATTCATTACTGTTTCATGTATTGTTAGGTTTTGATTCAGTGAACAAGGCTTCTGTGATCAGTGTCTCTCTTCACCTAGCCATTATGGAGTTTAGAAATGTCACCCTATCCCCCACCATCCTATAGTATGATTATGAGTCAGTGGATGCAGAGCGACAGTCGAGTTTTTATCTAAATTACTTATCTTAGTAGGCTCTAACATTGAATGTTCAGCCAGATTTTTGTGCTCTGCTATTCTGACTGATC